AAAAAAAAAAAAAAGAAAAAAAAGAATTACATACATTTCAATGAATGCAGAAATAAATCGACGACTGTCAGTGGGTTTTGTCTATATTTTGAAGAACAAATCGATCCTTGGTAACATGTTTTTATTTAAAATGACCTTGCAAGCATATCGACGGAGTTTGCATATTTTCATAAAAAAAAAAAAAAAGAAATATCAACTTGAGATAACAAACTGAGCTTTCACGTTTCGAAAACCTCGCTTTCGCAACAGGTGCGAAACGTCGTCGTAGGGACGATCGATGGGAATTGCAAGGAAGGTGACATTCGCTGTAGAGAATCAAGCATCGCGAACAAGCGACGAGATATAACGGTGGGGAAATTCGGCGACGCATTTACACACGCACACGACGCCGTGTGCGACGAAGTGGCTCGTTAAGTCTCTGCTCTCGCCGTATTTACTCGACGCGGTGTCGTAATCCGAGTCTCTCGAGTACACGAAAAGAGAAGAAGCGGGTAGGAGGCAGTCTCGACGAGAAAACTACGAGCCGAACAAGGAGGCAGGAGGAACCTTGGCCCTGACGACCAGCTAACTGTTGTTTTGTTCCAAATGGAAATCTTGATTGTGCCTTTGTTTTCAGATGTTTCTCTCCAGCTTTTCCGGCAGCAGCCTCCTCTTCCACCGAGATGCTTTCGCCGTCCCTCTCGCGCCCTCTTTATCTCTCTTTTTCTTCTCTGCATCCCTGCGGCTGTGTACGACAAAGGTTGAACACCGAGTACACTCCCTTGTTTTTCAGAAAACCTTCAATCTTCACGTTCACAATATTCGTCAGTTAGTCGGTTCATGGTCCGTGTGATGAAATCGATTTCATAGCTAATTTTCTGCTTGATCGCCGAGTATAATGTAAAGTAACAATTAAGGGTTCGCATCGATACAGTTTTTTTCAAATCGGGCAAATTATGCAGAAAGCCATCAACCGTTAAACAGAAAATTAATCAAACACACAGTGTTTCAGTTCAGGTCGGTAATTTTATGATTTTTATTTTGTAAAATCATATCAACTCTTCTATTCTATTCTAAACTTCTTCTTTATTCAGTATTTATGCTATTAACCTAATATTCTCTAATTTATGTGTCTAATCTATAATTCATATATTTTCTCCTCTACTGTCTATGCTACTTACTGTCAATTAAGTTATTAATAAGTATCGTAAAGGGAAGACAAGAAATAAAATATAGTCAATAAAAACGAATAATTTTGTAAAAAATTAAGATCTTCAGAATATAAATTTACTCAATTTTAGATCACTGGGGATTGCTAGCTTCTTCTTGCTCAACTTGATTTAATCGATTGAAAATAAAAGCTCGGATATGTATTCTTTTATTGGCAAAAATTTTAGCAGAAATAATGCTTAACTAACGTTTAACGATATTATCTTCAATCCTTTGAACGTTATTTTTGCACTTAAATTGTGCTATTGGGTGCAAGATGAGTCTCAAAATGTTCATGCACTTTCTGAATAAAATGCTTAATTAAATCTGAGCATTAGATTGTTGCAGATGAAATTACCACTTGTTTTGTTTTATAAGTAATTATTAATAATTATTATTTATAATTTGTACATTATATATTGTAAATTATAAACAAATGGCTAATTATAAATCATTGTATTATTGTATTATATATCTATT